CTGGCGGCCGCAGCCGCGCGCGCGCGGCTCCCGCCCCCCGCCCTGCTCGCTGGGCGGGGCAACCGACTGCGCGCCCTGGGCATCGCACAGCGGCTGCTGGCAGAGGTGGAGCTGGCGGCGCTGAAAGTGAACCACAGCGCCAGCGGCGTGGCCCCTCGGGCGGGCAGACCGCAGCGCCGGCGCCGCGGCCGGCGGGGCGTGCTCGGCGCGCAGCCAGGGGGGCCGCCGCCGCGGGGCCCTACGGCCGGAGCTGCCTCAGCAGCACCGGCGCCGCCAGGCAGTGCGGGCGGCGGCGGCAGCAGGGCCCGCTGCGCCGCTCTGTTCGCGGGGCAGGCTTGGCAGCTGCACGCCGCCGCGCAGGGCCCCGGCTGGGTGGCCTGCCTGCGCTGCGAGGCCTCCGCGCCCGCGCGGCCGCGACTGGCGGCGACGCCGTGCGCGGGCTGGGCCGCAGCGCTGCCGCCGCGGGCGGCAGCCTTGCTGCTCCTGCCCACGGTCCGGGCTGGCGGCCGCGAGGCCGACTGGCGCGCGGCGCTGCGCGGGCGCCTGGCGCAGCGCCCGGGGCCGCCGGGCTAGCGGCCTGCGCATGGGCCGCGTGCCGCCCCGGCCCCCCCCCTCCCCTCCTCGACTGCTGGTTTCTGCCGCTGGGCTTCTTCGATGGGTAAAAAGTGTCCTCATCCGCGCACATGCCCATGCGACCATCAGTATTTATCATAAATAACGTATGCAGCATATCGCGTTCGGATATCCCACTATTGCCACTGCGCATGCTTACAGGGCTCTCCGTCCTGCGCTGACTACGTGGACGAAGGTCTCGCCCATGTGGCATGTATGCGTGCGAAGACTGAAGCCACTGAGCGCTCCTGTCGGTTGCCCTTTCCATGCGCCTCAATCGCGTGTCGTTCGCCGGCACCGGAGGTGGAGCTGATCTAGCCGGTGTCCCTGCGTTGTCGTCGGTCTCTGCCACCAATGGCATAGGCATGTCTATAGCAGGTGTCCCTGCAAGTGTGCTTGCCTCCGTTACTAGCCCCGCGTTGGCTGGTGATGCAGGTTGCCCCGCTGGTGTCGTCATCGAGACTGCCGCGGTGCCCGTCATCATCGCCGTAACGAGGTTGAGCTCTTCATGGAGGTCCCTGAGCTCGTTCGCCCCTTCGGAGTATATCTTCATGACGGTTGAGTGACTCCTGATCTCCAGCAAGGGCGCAGTGGAACTCGGCAGTAATGAGGCCAGCACCCCTGCAGATAGCGCAGGGGGGGCCTCACTGGCGGAACTTTCCATGTTCCCAGCCAACTGTCTATCCACATGACCGTGTACCACTCGATCCCAGCATTGAGCGTGGAATGTGTGGCCGCACTGGAGGCGCCAGACCTTGTCGTGGTTCATGAACTGGTCCAGGCATATGGCACACTTACCGAAGTCGCCGAAACTGATGATGGGCGGTGTTGCCGATGGCCTGATACGCGTCTGGCGTTCCAGGGTAGACTCACCAACCTCGAACCGAATAGGTGATACCGTCGGTAGCTGCATTGATGCAACCATGGCTGGACTGCTCGCAGGTGTCCCTGCTGTGTTGCGGTTGGCAGGTTGCCCCGCGCGGCTCAGCATTCTGTTGGCCTGACGATCCTGGCTTCGGCGCTGGCGAGTAGCCTGCATAGCCAAGTTGGCCTGCTGCGCCTCGTGTATGGCTAGGATCTCAGGGCACAGCTCACCCATGGTCGGCGGCAGTACTAGGCCTGGGGCCTGTTGCTGCACATCTTGATCCATGGAGGGAGCCAGATAACCATAGTGAGGTATGTCCTGGCACATCTGATGCATACCCTGAGCCACGTGCCAGTTGCGACTGGTAGAAGTCGTCGGCCGTCGCCCGAACATGTGGGTTCTCGGGCTGTGTTCCCACCCGGGGAATACCACTCACCTGAGCGTGATAATCAGGATAGAGTGGATGATCCACTGGCGCTGCTGTCGGACGATCAGCAGACGTCGGATCGTAAGCCGGATGACTGAATAATGCTGGCACGTAACCAATCCGATTTGGATTGTTCGGTGATGGATCTGGATCCGGAACATGCTCCCGCGGCGGCGTCCAGTTGGCACTAGGGAGGTCAATGCCGTCCCTCCGCATACTATGAGCGGCCTAACGCAGCTGCCGATGCATCCACTCTTGCTGACCATCTGAACTTCTCTGTATGGCGTATTGGTCAAGAAAAGCAGGTTGCCCCGCATGTGGACGTGGCGATGCAAATGGCGATGTCGCCTGTAAAACCTGATAGAGCTGCGAATCCATCCGAATGCTTTGGAGCCTCGCCTGCAGACTGTTGTTGCTCCCAGCACTCTGTGGAGTACCAAATGGTGTAGTAGCTCTGCTCATAAGAGCAAATGAAGCAGGTTGCCCTGCAGGTACTCGCAGTTGTTGTACATGAACACGCCACGGATCATTGGCGTACAAAGTGTCGGAGGGCGTAATACCACTTGGAGTCATGCCTGTCACATCGGCGCTCTGAGCCTGTATCCATGATCCATCCGATCCCCCTGCAGGTGCCCCCGCATGATATGCGTCCATCATGACCACACTTGAGAACGCGACCTCCTGAACCGGAGGCGGATCGGGGCACTTCAAATTGTAGGGGGTCTTTGGGAAGAACCAATCCCTCAAAGATGATGCATCATTGCGGATCTCGTACATATCTTCAATGTTACCGCTCGGATACGGCTGACTACTGTCCCGCAAATATAAGGGATTTGTCCGTACCTGTCCCGCACGATGAAACTGACAGCCAGGGCTGGTCAGAATCCCGATCAACTGGACGATTTGGGTTGGAGGAATCCTGCCATTCCGGCCCGCTGTCATGACGATGTCATTCGCTGAGCGCCAAATCGGAATGTTGTCCCGAATCAGGTTCTTCATACTGACCATGATCAAGACCTCCGAATCGACGCGCAAGCCGGACTGAATCGGGTTATCGCCAGGAAGGTATGGGCAACCATGTGCAGACTGTCTGCCCCTCTTCTTGCTGGTGTCGTCGGAGCGGCATGATAATCCAATACTAAGAATACTCGGTATATTCTCACATTGAGCTCCATGGATGAAATAACAGGGTGCCCCAGGAGCGGACCGGTCCGTAATTCTCACATATAATGACTCAGGGCACTTAATACCAGGGCTGCTGTGTCCGTTACTTGGACGGATGAAGTATGTGTCGTGCTTCTCGGAGGAGTATTTCATCTTCTTTATATGCAGCCTATTCAATTTCATTCCAGACTCATCAACCATACCAATAGTTCCAGGACAGCATACGCCTGGCACGCCCAGTGCTGGTTCTTGAGCTTGTAGCGTACCCTGTCCAGGTGTTTGTGGCGGTGGCCCTCGCATCCTTCCGCAGGCCATCTGTTGAGTAGCTATGATAATTCTGCCCATCCGTCGTACTCATCATACGATGTCACTTCCCGAATGAATATGTCCGACAATTGGCATCTATGAAACGGCTTGTGATGGAGGGCCGTCGTCAACCACTCGGAAACCTTGCGCTCGTCGAGCTTGAACTTCGCCATGTTAACATCTTCTGATCTGAGGATGTGTTCCAGATATCTCCCCCCCCCCTGGGCCAGGCGGAATCGGGCAGCGGCCAATAATATTTACAACTGTCGCATCCGCTCATATTTCTCAATCTGTGACTGACACCACTGCACGTCGAAACTTCTTACAAGCTCGAGCTGCCCAGCCGAGGGCGCACGGCCGAGGCAGCATTCAGGCCTCAGACGAGGCCACTCACGCAAACAACTGCAGACCTCCAACCTCCGGCGAGAGGCGGGGGCGGCGGGCGGAAAGACTTGAGCGAGAAACAGTTGCGGCCAGCAGGGGCAGGGAAAGACGCTCAGAGAACTGCAGCATCTCTCTCCCCCTGGGCCAGACGGAATGGGGCAACAGCCAGTAATATTTACGACTGTCGCATCCGCTCATATTTCTCAATCTGCGACTGACAACACTGAATGACGAAACTTCTTGCAAGCTCCAGCTGCCCAGCCGGGGACACGCGGCCGAGGCAACATTCAGGCCTCAGACAAGGCCACTCACACAAACGACTGCAGACCTCTAACCCATGCTTTGCTCTGGAGCCGCCTGAGGTGAAACCTAACAAATCAGACGATTCAATTGGGTTATCTGAAGGGCCTCCACGGACCTCGAGAGCCAAGCCGCAATCGCGGCGGGCAGCCCTCTCGGGTGGGACGCCGCGAGAGCGGTGAGATTTATACTCGAGCCCGGAGCTCTGCCTCTCAAAATGATGTGCGGTTTGAGGCTGAAGCTACAACACCCGCGCCCGGTGCACAAGACGTGTTCGTGGCGAAGTGAGGGGACGTGCCATCCTACGAAACGAGTTCTCTTGCGCCAGCGAGCCCCAAAGGCACACTGGTCAACCGCAAGCTGCCTGCAGGACGCATGGCCCATCAAGGCCAACATGCGTGCTTCGCGCCACGCTTTAGAAGCATGTGGGTTCTCGAGCAGAATAGGAACGCGGCACCTAATGCAAGCCCTGACAAGCCTACAGGTCACCCTCAGAGTCTCATTTCCCATCCTCAATCTCGCGGCTTCCGCTGGAAAGGGATCGGGGATCCCGCAAGGGCACCGTGACTTACGAATTTGCTTGAACAGAGCGGGCGTCCAGCTGCTGCACGGGAAGGCGGCGCGCACTGCCTTGGCGCTGTGAGAGTGGATCCAGCCGAGAATCACGTTAGCAACAACTGGGTTGGTTAAGTCGAACTCGCCGCCATTGGGGGGAGTCGAAGCTGATGCAGCGCTCTTGTCTGGCCTCCAGACGCTTACCGACAGCACCAGTACCAGAGAAGAGGCCAAGCAACACACGATTGTCATGACACTGAGCCGAGGCGTTCTTAAACAACTGTCGAAGTCTCGCTCGGATTTGATGCGCAGGTAAACTGTCTTTCAAGCCCGCATTATGATCCCCGCGTCCTCCATGAAATGGTCGCCTCGTGAATGCGGCCGTGGTTACTCCTGGGCGGGACGTAGCCGCTTCATGACCAGGCCGGGTGGCGCGGGCACGCGCACCTTCAGTGACAAGAGAGCCTTTAGCTGGCGCTCCACGGTGATCCCGTAGTCGCGCGCCTTCTCGGGCAGGCACTCTAGCGACTTGAGCACTCTGGCGTGCTTCTCGCATCGCTTCACCGATGCGTCCGCTGCCCAACGCCCCCGACGCCTGATGGCCCCCATGCTGCGGGTCTGCCTCAGGGCGTCGTCGCTGGCGCCCCCATGTCTCATCATGTACGGGTGGAGGTTTGACTGACCCATGCCCACGAGCCCGGCCACGCGTTTGAAGAGGTTCGAGAACTTCCGATAGTCGAAGGACCAGACGTTCTCGTGGCCAGAGCGCTTCTTCAAGGTCGAGAACCGCGGGTACAGAAAGACCAGCTCGGGACTGTCGAGCAACAGGCTCTCGTCGAACTCCTTGGTCTTCGTGGGGGTGGCCTCCTCCTCTGGTGCCAGTGGCAGAGCCCAGTACTTGGTGCCCGAGCTGGGCAGCGGCGGAATCAACTGGTGGACCCGTAGTCCCAAGCACTCGTTCGGCCTCAGGTACGCGCGAAACAGGAAGATCAGACACCGCGCGAACTCCAGCTCGCCGATGTGGAGGGCTGCCCCGCCATAGCGCACAGGCCAATCCGGGGCAATGGCGCCCTGTTGAGACCTGGAGGTAGGCGCCTGAAGCCCTTCAGCGCCATCTTGGTCCGCTCCAGGACCTTGCCGCTGCGAGTCCCTGGGGTCCTGTACTCTAGGGCTGCAATAACCTTCTCGCCCGAGTCGTGGTCGTGCCCCGAGAAATACAAATCCTCGAGGTACTCGAGCAGCTCCGCCGAGATGCCGTCGCTGGAGCTCAGGGGTAAGCCGTTGTCGCTGGCCCACGTAACTCGTAGAGCTTCCCTTAGCTAGTTGCTAGAAGCTTGAGAGTAATTCCGGGGCGCTGGAGAGCTAGTTGGCAAGAAAAATCTCGACGGACCTTTTGCTGACTTTTGGTTGGTTGAAAATTTTGTTCTCGAAATTCAACAATTCGTTTGAGCTCTAGTATTTTTTCCCGTGATATTCGATCTTATTCCCGCTCGCCGTCTTGATCTCAGCTCGATCGGGTACCTTTTACTGTCAAAAAGCACTGCGGCGGGATCGGCCGTTTCGGGTCATCTTGACACGCGGTGATGGTTGTCTCAAGATAACTCGAGCTATAGAAGAGCTACAGAGCTGATACTTACAGAAACCGATTCAGAATCATCAGGCGCGCTTGTCTGTTGAACCCAGAGGTCTGAACTCGGTCTGCTGCTCGAGCTAGGTCCGCGAAATGTTTCGTATTGTTCGAGTCATCTTGAGAGGTGCTGTCGGTTTTCTGTACTTCACTCGGGCTGTAGGGGGGCTACAGGGCTGGTAATCACAGAAACCGATTCGTAGACGTCAGGCGCGTCCGCCTGTTGCATGCAGAGGTCTGAACTTGGTCTGCTACTCGAGCTAGGTCCGCAAAACTTTTCGTATCGCTCGAGTCATTTCGACAGAGACTGTCGGATTTCTGTACTTTACTCGAGCTCTAGGGGAGCTGCAGAGCTGATACGCACAGAAACCGATGCAGACTGATCAGGCGCGTTCGTCCGTTGCATCCAGAGGCCTGAACTGGGTCTGCTACTCGAGCTAGGTCTGCGAAACTATTCGTATCGTTCGAGTCATATTGAGAGGTGCTGTCGGTTTTCGCACGTAACTCGAGCTGTAGGAGAGCTACAGAGCTGGTGCGCACAGAAACCGATCCAGAAACATCAGGAGCGTTCGTCTGTTGCATCGAGAGGTCTGATTTCGGTGTGCTATCCGAGTAAGGTTCACAAAGTTATTCGTATTCGACTGATCTTTTTTCACAATAATGGTGAATTTCTTCACTGAACTCGAGCGGCCGGAAAATCAGAAGGAAATCGTGAGGCGTGAAGCATCTAGACGCTTGGTTTGAGTCTGTTGTGAACGCAGACGCCAAAAATGGATTCGTACTCTGCTACTTCTTCCTCTCAGCACAGCAATGGGATATCACTAGACGCCTGAGATCAATCTGCTATCAGCTCGGGCTTGAAAACTATACGTTCTCTGCTATTTGTTCGAACATAATACATGGTCAGGAAGCTCTACGAGTCCCCCGGCGGTAAGAAAGGTTGACGGTTTACCGCCGGCGCCCAGTCTGGAAGTCCCGAAAGCACCTGTCGTACACCATCGCAGAAGGACGCGTCACTTTGTTCACCTCCAAGGAGACCTGGCCGAAACTGCGCGCATGGCGAGCCTCGCCCTGGTGGGCTAGCTGTCGCCGTCTGGCTCTCTGCTTGCGCTGCTGAGCCGCAGGCTGGTGGTCGACCTCTGTCACAGGTCTCACTGCTGGTAGAGGCTGGCTCCTCGGAGCCATGCCCCTCTGAGATGCTATCGTCAGAATCGGAGTCCTCGTACTGCCCATCCTCGACCCAGCAGCGCCAATCGCCTGATGGCCCCAACGGGTGAAACCAGCTGCCCGGATGCCAGTGTGCGTCGTCGAACTCGAGTGGCGCGGCTGAATCGCGACTGGCCCTGGCAAGCTCGTTGACAGCAGCCTGGAGCGCGGCGCGCCTCGCTGCCTCGGGCTGCCCAGGGCGGGCGAGCATCACGCGCCCCGCCTCCGCCCCGAAGTGGCGGCCCTGACTTGAACCGCGAAGCAGCGTCGGCAAGGTTGCACTCCGACGGCGCCCGTCTCGAGACAAAGTCTGAGTCTGACGCCATGGGCAAAGCGGCCAACTGACGACAGTGTCGGTTGATGGTGGCGTCACTAGCACGACCTTTACCCTGCGCCAAGACAAAGCCAAGATTGCCTCCCAAGAAGAGGTGACGATGAGAGAAGTGACGCACATATCGAAGACGATTTCTGGCCGCGATAACCGTGGCACGACCCTCTGAGGAAGTAATGTTCTCTGCGACGCGCCAGCGCCCCCGCGCCTTCAAACCCCAGGTGGTGACGTCGCCGATGCTGTCGCGCTCAATGTCGAGCAGCTCTAAAGGCACCTCGTCGGGCGGCACGTCGGCAGCACAACTGAGACCGTGCTGAGGCTTATCGCCGTCGCCCAAAGCCCGCTGACGCGCGTGCACTGCATCCTCGACAAAGAACCTCTAACGCTCGCTCTGTCGGCCCCAGGCTCTCACTTCGTCAACGCTGAAGCGCTTGGCAACTATGCCGAAGCCCCTGTTGTCGGTGGCGTTGGCGCCCTCAGAGTCCGACGCTGACACCAGCGGGCACCAGGGCCTCTTGCTGTCGGCGTAGGCGAAGGAACAACACCATCATCCAGCGGAGCTCCTTCGCCACAGCAGGCCAGAGCTTGACGCGGGTGTCCCCAGCGAAGTCGATGAAACGGTAGATAGCGTGCGGGGCACTGAGCAGGCACCTCCTCAAGATGGCCGACCAGGTGTAGTGCCCAACGGTGCGGTGGAACAACTAACCCGAGGCGCACCCGTCCTGCAGGAGGGCTGCGATGGCGAGCCGTACCTTCCAGCAGCGGCGGTGGCCGACCGAGATCCGCCCGGTGGCCCGATCGAGCGTCATGCCAGTGAGCTGCGTCTCTGGAAGCCCGTGCTCGAGCTCCTTGCACTGCAGTCCGTCGGCAGCCAGCTGGGCGTAGAGCTTTTTGGCCATGTCGCGCACGACGTCATGGTCCGTGCCGACGACCCCCGCGTTGTCCACGTAGACCGCCGTGCCGAACTTGCCGCCCGTGATGTCGGGGGCCTGCTTCTTGTCGAGCAGGGAAGCCTCAGAGGGCACGCCTGCCCTAAGAGCGCTGGCCGTCACCATGGCCTGACAGAAGCACAGCGCCCAGGACCAGCCCATGGCCATGACCACCAGGTGCGGGGTGACGTATCCCGAGGCGGACAGGTCCAGGGCCAGCGCAGGATTAGCACGAAGTAAATGTTTCGCAGAGACTCGGGGCAGAGCAACAAGGTCCGAAACTCCAGGAGGAGCCTTGCAGCGGTAAAAAGCGTTACCAACGTCCATCTGAGACAGGACTAGGTCGTCCGCGAGGCCAATCTCGACTGAAGCCCAGGATGCTGGTGTCGGAAGCCTTGAGTGCGCGGGCTCCTCGAACAAGTCATTGACAGCCCTGGTGTCTAATATCGTACGCAGGCGGCCATCCTTCTTCGCGACGAAGAAGATGCCAACCGTGGCGGGTGCCTCCTGACGTATGCTGACGAGGCTGGCTTGGAGCATCTGCATGATGACCTCTCTGTAACGGACCTGGTCCTTCACGAGAGCGGGATCGCTATAAGGTCGAATACTGGTAGCAGGGCGTAGAGCCCGAAGGAGAGTCCATCCACAAGCGAGTCGATATGGACCTCCAGCGTTGCAAAGCCAAGCCGGACAGCGCCTGCTCGCCGTCCGCGAGGCCGCCTCGAGAGGGCAACGAGACAAGGTCAGGCTGGAAGCTGCGTCTAGGGTCGCTGCCGGCGTAACCAGGACGACTGCCGCCAAGCCCACTCAGGGCTTGCGCGGCCGTGCACGGTGGGGGCGGCATGGCCTTATAAATGTCGGTGATGATCTCAACGCTGCGGCGCTGAGCGAGAGACTCCCCCAGGCCAGGTGGAGGATGAATAGTGCAACCGAACATCTCATTGAGGCACAGGACCGCCGAATTAACCCAAGCGTGCCAATGCTAACGAACATGCGCACGACGGCGCACGGATCGGCACCCAGAAACCTGAAGACAAAACTGATCTTCTTGAGGAAACGGCGGGGCCATCGGCAACAGCTCTCGACTTATCGGCATCCCTGTATCCGGCGCCTGGGCGGGAACGCCAGCCGCATGGCAGCTCGCGATTTCCCAGCCCCCGCTCCGGCAGCAGCTGGAGCCTCTGTCTGGGCTTTAGCTTGCGCCTTGGCGGCGGCTCGCTCGGCCTTGGACTTTCCCTTCGGCCCCTCGGGCTGCGGTAGCTGCCCAGCGACAGCGTCGTCTGGTGGATGGTAGCGGCCCGCGTGCGCAGCCTGCCCCGCCTGCAGCCTCCTCTCCTCGCTGATTTTCTCGACTCCTTCGCGATGGTGCCTTCACGGTGGAGCTCCGAAGCCGCATACTCCTCGAGGAGCGGGCAGAGCATCAACTGGCTCCGCGTCTCGCCGACCCCCAAGTACAAGAACTCGTCTGCCATGATGGAGTCGACCTGGCCGTCCGTCCTCGGCAACCCGTGCTTGTGGCGGTACTCCGCCAGCTGCGCGCGTCTGAGCAGCAGCTCCACGAATGACAGCTCCGCGGCATTGACCTGGTCATAAGTCAGAGCATACTCTATCGCCTTCATGGACGTCTCGTGGTCCGATACCCCAGGATCCGCAATCGAGAGATTGCAAGTATATTTCCACCAAGAGCGCCTTGCCCTCGGATGCCCATTCGTCTGAAGGATGAACTGCAAGCACCACTTGGTGGTTCGCGGCCCCGCGAGGGGCCGAGAGTCCCAGGAGCGGCCCCGCGAGGGGCCGAAAGTCCCAGGACGTCTCGGTGACAGGGCCCACCGCAATCTTGAAATCCTTGAACCGTTTGCCGAGCCGATCTCTAGTCACCTCCAGGATGCGCGCGTCCAGCTCTAGCTCCGCGCCGTCGTCGCCTGCCTCGCCCGTGAGGGCGCTGCGGTCCGCGATCAGCTTCAGCTCACCGTCCTGATACAGCAAGCCGAACTGCGGACCCACGATCCATCCTTGGCCAGAGGGCGCGGCGAGCGGCACGATGCTGGGACCGCCCACGTCGCACCGGCGGATGTCAGGCGCAGGCAAGCGGCCCGAGCCGCAGGCGACCGCCAGCGCCCCGAGCACCCGGAGGGAGCG